CCTGGGGGGTCTTGGAATGTGTCTCTCAGATAAGCAGGGGTGACTATACTTGTCTCATAGGGTGGGTATATGAATTAAATGACACACTCCAGGTACATGCTTGTCACAGGTCTGGCTCAAGAAAGTGTTCAGTGAAAGTTGTATAAGGAAAAGGTGGGACTGTGTGGACCTATTGTGTGTCGAGTGCTCTGCTCCACATTGAAAATACAGTGGTGAACCAAGATGCTCCCGATCTCCTCCAGGTGGCTCTGGTGGAGAGAGGGTGTGAATGAGTCAGCGTGTGAATGGAGAATGGACAGCTGGGTCTAGCTGGGCAGGTAGACCTGTTAACGGGTGATCACGATTTGTGATAAGCTTGTTCCGGGTGCTTCTCAGAGCCATAGGGAGCCAGGCACCTGGTGAAAAACGGCTCCTGAGCTGAGCTTTGAGGTGAGGGGAAGTCAGTGGACGCAGGGAGGGTCCAGCAGGTGGAGCGGGGCTGTTGGTGGAGCCCACTGAGTGCGGCTGAGGAGGTGGAGCAGTTTGGTGGGGCTGAGGCCAAGGGCACAGGTGGATGAGGCTGAAGGGGGAGGGGCCGGACCCTCTGAGGACTGCAACGGGGCTCTGAGGGGAGCAAGGCTCAGAAGGGAGAAGACCCTTGAGTGTCAGGGGCGGGCCACTCCAGGCTGGAGGCTGGCCCTTGGCTTGGGTGGGATGGGTCAGCAGTGGATGAACCCGAAGGTCCCCTAGCACCTAAGGAAGGCCGAGGAAGCTGATAGGGCAGGCTAGTGGCATTTCTCAGAGACAGTTGACAGTCAGGGTGTGTGTATTTGGAGTCCACCGAGAAGGATGGACGGGCTGGGAGAGGATTGCTCTTAAAGGCCTGAACCATGCTCACAGAAGAAAGGAGACACGTTTTCTCCACAGAGTGAGCCTGACACCCAGGAAACTCAGGCTCTTTCCCGAGTCTTTCCTAAGGAACTCGGTGTGATGGAGACCCAGCTGGGCCTGCCATGCTCACCTCACCCTCAGTCTTGGGCCTCAGGTCTGACACCTCCCTCTCCAGCAGCAGGGACAGAGCACGGAAGGCCACACTGTCTGCCCGACACCAAAGGCACTGGTCAGGTCCCCGTGGAGTGGTGAAGCTTCCTGAGGCAAGAGGAGAGGTCTGGGCAGTGTGCACAGGGGACAGAGCGTGGGACGGTGGAGGAGCCAGGAAGGGAGGGAGGCAGGGGAGGGCTGGTCCTGCAGATTCCACCTCTCCTTCCCTCTGTGCGGGCTCTGTGATTTCTGACATCTGTCTGCTCATTTACACACAGATTCTGACATCTGTCTGCTCATTTACACACGCCTGCACGTCAGCGCTGTGGTCAGCACCTGGGCAGGTGCTGTGGGAACAGGACAGTCAAGGACCTTGCCTTCATGCAGCCACAGGGGTGGAGGGAGGGTGACCTTTTGTGAACAAGTAAACTACCACCAAGGAAGTCATTCAGACCACGGCAGATGGCACCTGGGAGGGGATCAGGGTGGCTGCCCTCAGGGGGCCCTGGGGCTGGGATCTGAGCAGGAGAAGGAGCTGGCTGTGTGGATTTTCCCTAAGAGGGGCTGGGCTCCTGTCCAGGGGCCATCCATGCCTACTGCTTGTGCAGTTCACAGAAGGCCTCAGGTAACAGGGACAGTGGGGTGGCTTGGTGACTGAGCACACAGGCAGGCAGAAATGGGTGCTTGAGGTGCAGCCTCAAGCCCCCTCCCCCCGCGTCTCCCCATCCCTGGTCTGGCTGTGGGAACTAGTGTGCCTCTGATTTGTTGTCCCTCCTACCCGGTGACAACACTGGATTCAAAAGGAAATAATTCTATGCAAAAGGAATGTCGAGCCACTGAGGTGGTGAGACCCAGAGGGGGCCACTARGGGGCCACCATCACAGGGAGAGGAAGGCTTGAGGTGACTGAGCAAGACCTACCCAGGCATCGTGGTTCTGGGAGCGGAAGCCACAGGCTAAGATGGCGAGCAGTGAGATGTGTGTTCAGAGCTTCTGCCCAGTTTCAAGTCAGGTTGGTCTTTGTGGAATTTTTGCGTGTTGGCTTTGCTAACTGAGTTGTCTGAGTTCCTTATACATTTTGGATATTGACCCTTTATCAGACGTGTGGTTTGCAGACCTCTTCCCCCATCCTGTAAGTAGGGTGTCCCTTCTGATTGTCTCTTTTAGTCTGACATAATCTCTTGTCTATTTTTGCTTTTATTGCTGGCCTTTCTGAGGTCTTATCCAAAATACCTTTTCCAGATATTGTATATCAAAAATATGTACAATTATTATAAGTCAATCAAAAATAAAATGAGCCAGGCTGTAGCGCACGCCTATAATCCAAATGGCTCAGGAGGCTGAGACCAGAGGATCATGAGTTCAAAGCCAACCTCAGCAACAGTGAGGCATTAAGCAACTCAGTGAGACCCTGTCTCTAAATAAAATATAAAACAGGGCTAGGGATGTGGCTCAGTGGTTGAGTGCCCCTGAGTTCAATCCCTGTTACCCTCCCCCTACAAAAAAAGAAACTCAAAAAAATTTCAAGAAGAGTTCAGATGGTTTCATGGGGCTGGAGGGACAAAGCAAGTTCAAGGCTAGCCAAAGAGGGCCCTAGTAAACACTCTAGCACCTGAAGAGCTATGTTCTAAGTAAGGATAAAAACTAAACAAGATTCACACTCACTTCAGTAAAGACTGAACCCAGCAATAAATCACTTTGATTCCAGACAGGATTCAGGTAAACTCCCCTACATTAACTGCCTGCCAGAAACACATACATTCCCTGTGGGGTAAGACATTATCATATGGAGCCTCAAATAATCTCTATCATTTTTATGACTTAATATTTGATAAAAAAAATTCCCCAGGAATTTAAAATCCAATGACCAAAAACCAAGAAAATATTTTCCCATCATCATAATGGTATTGAAAATAACTCTGATTGATATGTAGTAGAAAAAACTCTGAAGAAATTCTGGATAAAATTCACGAGAATAGAAATGGAAATTCTAGAAATGAAAAATACAGCTGGAATTAAGAATTTAATAAAGGGAGCTCATGTGGATCTGGCTTCTGTTACTGTTAAAACGCCTAAAATCATCAACTTAGAAAGACAAGAGGGTTGTTTTGGTCCATAGTTTTAAAGGTTTCCATCCAAGGTCAGGGGTCACACTGCTTTTGGACCTGTGGTGGGGAAGAGTGGAGTGGAGTCACCCACCCTAGGCTGGGATGTGATGATGAGAAAGGGGCTGGGCCCACCGTTCTTCCAGAACACACCCCCAATTACAGAAAACCCTGCACTGGCCACACCTCCCAGAGGTTCGGCCACCTCCCAAGGACATCTTACTGGGGACCAAGACTTTAACACTAGGGCCTTTCGGAAAGGTCCAGACCCAAACTCTAGCAGGGCTTATTAACAGATTAGATAGTTTTGAAGAAGAGACTAGTTAACTGGTGCACAACCAGTAGAAAATAACCAGACCCTAGCGGTGAGTGGAACAAGCACAGACGCCTCGCAGAGGGGCGTGAGAGATACACAAAGCAGAGTGTCAAGACCGAATGTGTGTAGCAGGACCTTAGAAGAGGAGAGAGCAAAGCAGCAATGGGTAACCAAGCAACGGCCTAGAACTGGGCAGCTCCAACAAAGGGTTTCCGAAGCACCATAAAGCCCAAGCAGAGCAATGCCAAGAAAACCTCTTCCAGCCCATCACAGTGACACCTCCAAAAGCAGAGGCACAAGGTTAATCTGCAAAAGAGGCAGAGAGAGAAAAAAGATGCCTGACCTGAAACAGGTAGTGCTGAGTCCTCAACAGAAACAGATGGTCCCCGACTGAACATTCTTCCATGTAGAATTCTTCAACTTTATAATGGTGCAAACTCAACAGATGGCCGGCGGAAACCACTCTGAATTCTGGTCTTCTCTTGCCCCAGCCGTGTGAGGTGTGGACCACGCATGGTCAGGATGAACTGCCGTGCTCCAGGGCACAGTGTGTTGCTGGGCCATGATGCCTGGTGGTCCAGATGACAGGATTAAGTGCTTTTTTGACTTAAGATATTTTCAACATATAATGGGTTTAACGGGGTGTAAGGGTAACCCCATCATGAGTCAAGAGACATCTTTACCAGAAACCAGAAAATCGTAGCTTCAAGGTGTTGAAAGAAAATAATGGCTACCTTGGATTCAATGTGCAGCAAAACATTCTTTAAAAATTCAGTTAAAAATATGTATTAGATAAAATCTAAGCTAACTCATCACCAGTAGGATCATACTAAAGTGAAAACTAAGGTGGCGTTCGAGTCAGCTTTGGTCACAATGACAAATATCTGGGGTGAACAACTTAAAATGAAGAGTTTTTTTGCCTCCTGGGTACAGAGGTTTCAGTCTGTGGTCCCCGGACCATCGCTTTGGGGCCTGTGGTAAGGCAGAACATCACGTGGGGAGTCTGTGATGAAGCTGAGCTGCTCACCTCAGGTGTCCAGGAAGCAGAGCAAGCAAGAGGAGTTAGGGTCCATTATCCTCTTCTAGGGCACGCCCCTAGGACCAGACCGCCTTCCCTGATGCCCCATTTCTTAAAGGCCTCACCCCTAACAGTGCCACTGGCTGGCAAGCAAGCCTTTAGTACAGAAGCCTTTGGGAGCATTAAGGTGGCTCTTCAGGCACAGGGAAAATGACCCCACTGGAAAGCGTGGACAGGTGAAAGGCACTGTGAGGGGTGAGAGGTCAGTGAACCCAGGCGAATGCTGGCCATATGAAGTGATAGCCTTTCTGCCCCACTCCCTCCTACCCCTGCAATGATCTTGCCTTGCTCGCCCAATGGTTCCGCCCCCCAGCATTGGCCCCGCCCACCTGTGCAGCACTCTGAGGCCCAACACAGAGGAACCCCCTCTGCTTTCCACCCCCAGCGGCCCCGCCCCAGCCCTGCAGTGACCCCGCCCACTCCCCCACAGAGGACCGCCCTCCCCTGCCTACCCCCACCCCCGGGCCGCGCGACGGAGTAAGATGGCGCCAGCGGGCCGCGGGGAGCGGCGGGCTCCAGCGCGCTTCGTCTACGTGACCCGCTTCGGCTCGCACCAGTGTGGCTGCGTGTTGCAGCTAGGTGGTCCTCGGGCTTCCGGCCGCGGATGGTCAAGGCCCGAGACCCGCGGCGGCCCAAAAGAGCCGCGGGAGGCGGCGGCGGGGTCCCTGAGCGGCGGCGAGCTGCCCGCGGGTCTCGGGCGCAGGGTCCCCGCCGGCCGGGCCGGCAGCTCCCGGCTTCGGGCGTCGAATGCGCCAGGCCGCCACGGCCCTGCAGGTGGCTTGGCGGGAGCGCGCGGGCGGGCGGGCGGGCTCCTTGGCGCCGCCACGTGCCGTGGCGGTCATTTCCTGTCAGCGCGGCGGTCACTTCCTGTCCCTGCTGCTGCGAGCCATTTTGCCAGGCATCCGCCCCTCAGCCTCCTGCCAGTTCCCCTGTCCCCCGTCCTGTGGGTCCTTCGCCTCCCCGGCGGTCCTGCGGGCCGACTGCTCGCTCTGTCCACTCACTTCCCCGCCGTGGTTCTGTCAGCCAGCGCGCGGTGACCCTCGTGTCGGCCCTCCTGGCAGCCAGCCTTCCTGTGGCTTAGCTCTGCCGGTCACTCGCCCGTCAGCCAGCCCTCGCGGCAACCATCCCTCGGGTCCCCATCCCCGGGTGACTCAGTGGCTCGGTCGGTCTGGAACCCGCAAGGCCGCCGGCAGGGGTCTGGGCCCGCGGTGCCGCCCTGCGCCACAGGCGCGCCCCTGGCCCCTACTTTTTGGAGATATGCTGTCCCCTCCTCTTGACGAGTTACCTCGTATTCAGTCTGTTTTAAAAAGCTACAATTTTGATTAACTGATAGATATTTTGTTTTTAGTCTCTTCATCATTAGTTTCAGCACACCTGTATTTCTTTTCCTCTTATTTCCTTAGGGTTTCTTTGTTCTTTTAATGGATTTTTTTTTAAGTAGGAGATTTCAGTGATAGTGAATTTTTAAAATCACTATTTAAATATTTCCCTTAGATTCTAATATATATTGTTTCCATTGTCACTTTTTAAAAGTATCCATTAAATACTTATACCTCACTCTCCGTGGGGAATAAAGATGAATTATTTATCCATCCAGTAGCATTGTTTTAGCATCTATCACACTGTGGTGGGCACTTGGCTAGTGACAAAGATGGGTCATATATTCTGCACTTGAAGGACTTATACGTGAATTATGAGGATTTATGCTAGTAGCTGTGAGTGCTGGCAGAGGGATCTCAACCAGGCTTTGATAATCAAGTTCAAAGAAAGAAGAGGCATAGAGGCAGAAAATCAAGGCAACTGAATAGAAAAGTTTCTAATGGGACAATAGAAATCCTCAGGCTTTGAAGTCAGAAGACAACCTTGGCTTTGTCTTTTATTAGTAGGGTAATACTGGTTGTGTTTGTAACTACTCTGATCCACAATTTTTGTATCTGTAAAATGCAGTTAATATTTCCTACCTAAGTGAAATAATGCATGACAAATGCCTGGCACACAATAAATGCCCTGACTATGTGGACACATAGAGCAGAGAAAGCTAGAAGGCAACAGGTGACTAGTCCAGTGTCTAGTATATGGTAGGTACATACCCATATTTATTGCATAAATGAAAAATAAGTTTTGGATCAGATTGTGGAATGTTTGTCATTTTATCATCATTAAAGATTTTTGCATGATGGAGTAAAGTTATCAGGGACAAATTTATTTCTGGAAGATAAATCTGTTAACTGTAAGATATACAGGAGTTCAGAGATCCAGGAACAGTGAGATCAGGCAATCTTCTAACATTTTTTTTTTCTTTTCTTTTTTTTGGAACCAGGAACTGAACCCAGGTGTAACCTCTGAGCTACTTTTATAATTTATTTTTATTTTGAGGCAGGGTTTCATTAAATTGCTTAGGGCCTCACCAAGTTGCTATAGCTACCTTTGAACTTGTGATCCTCCTGCCATAGCCTCCCAAGTCACTGAGATTACAGGTGTGTGCCACGGCACCTGGCCTAACATTCCAGAGAAGATTAATAAATCAGGCTGGCTTCTTGTCTACACAAAGTTTGGGAGATATATCCATAAGTTATAAATAATAGAGGATTGAATTCTATTGTGGAAGTGCTATACTATTTTGGAAGTGCTGAATAACTTGGGGGTGAGAGAATCAAGGACAGCTTCATGGTGGTGGAAGTTCCTTATGATATCCATGTGGAGCTGAGATAGGGGCAAAGGACACTTGGGAGGAAATGTGGACAAGTTATTGAATATGAATCAGCAATGGGCAGTAATTAGGTAAAACTTTAAATACAGTTTGGATGGAGTGTGTAGAAAGAGGAGTAGAGAAAGGTTTGATAGACAAGTTGGGGCAAAAATCCATGGTGTACACTGGAGTTAGCCTCAGTGTGGTACAAAAAAATAAGTGGAAGAAATATTTTTGCCTGTTTTGCACATTCTCTCTTTTGCTGTTTTTTGAGACAGGGTCTCAACTAAGTTGTTTCTTGGGGCCTCACTAAACTGCTGAGGCTGGTCTTGAACTTGCAATCCTTGTGGCTCAATCTCCTGAGCTGATGGGATCATAGACATGTACCAACATGCCAGGCTACATTTCTTACTATGCCTTAGATCTGCAAGTAATTACAGACACACTTGATGGCTCCTATCCTAGCCTCAAGAAGTATAGGCATAGGCTGGATAACACTTAATGGAAATGATGCAAATATAATGTTCTAAATATTGAAAGCATTTAGAAGAAAGATTAAACATGGGAATGTTAAGAGCAGAGTTTCCCAAACTTAATTTTCTATGTCATATCTGTATTATCATCTATACCGTTATTTAATACGTTTATTTAAATAAGTACATGTTCCTTCTTAATTAAATTTGTTTTTAGAACACCTTACATCATTACCGAACTGGAAAACCTATACTATTTGCCATAAATAGAAATTTATTAAAAATAAATCTAGGGCTGGGGATGTGGCTCAAGCGGTAGCGTGCTCGCCTGGCATGCGTGCTGCCCGGGTTCGATCCTCAGCACCACATACCAACAAAGATGTTGTGTCCGCCGAGAACTAAAAAATAAATATTAAAAAAAAAAATCTTTAAAAAAAAATTAAATAAATAAATCTAATAAAGACCAAAAAAAGAATTCTAGCTAAGTAGGTTGTCTATGTTCATAAAAGGAAGTTTTCAAGACTTAGAGAAGTCTAAATGGCATGCTTGTGCCAAACTCAGACCTCCTCCTTGATATAATTAAGAGATTGAAAAGGAATTGGGAAGGTGATGTTTCTCACTGTGTGAATTATTGTCCTTTAGTACTGTGTCTGTGCCTCACCTATATCAGTGACATGTACCTCACCAGTTGGAAAGTGTCATTTTAGAGCTTATTTTAGTTCATTCAACAAATGGAACAGAATTAGAAACTGAATCTCTAGGGAAGAATAAATAATCAAGTAAATAATGTGATAAATCCTGTGTAACTGAGCATTAGTGGCTTTGTAAGATCAGAGACTGGGTCCTGCAAAGCTAACTATGAAATGTGTAGAAAAGATTCAGGTGGAGTGATGGTGGGTCAGGACGGAAATGGGAAAGGCTAGGGGACGCTGTAGATAAGGAGAGCAAATGCAAAGGCTTTTAGGGAACACACATTGTCTATGATTTGTCTTTGGACACAAGTCCTTTGGTTTTCTTCTGTTAACTTTGGGAAGGCCACAATGCTGGTTCAGTGAGTGGAGTCAGTAAGCTTATTCATTCTGTAAAACCTCCCCCAACTTAGCCAATTTTTCAACTTTATGATACCTTGGTAGTTTATGATAACATGGTAGGGCACTTGCAAGTGCTGCTGGACAGTAACAGGGAGCTATGGCTCTCAGTCAATTGTGGTAAACAGGTACCCTACCATGTACTGTATTGCCAGTGTTTTTGCATCCCATCGTGATAATGAAACATCCATCTCTGTGTGTACTCTCTGTGTGTACGTGAGATATCCAACATTGTATTACAAAGTGGCCTTTGCTTCAGGAGATTTTGCCCAACTGTGAGCTAATGGAAGTGCAGAGCCTGTTTAAGGTGGGCCAGGCTAAGCTATGATATTATGTAGATTAAGTATAGTAAATTCATTAGTGACTTGTATATTTTCTAATTATGATGGGTTTATCTGGATATAAGCCCCTCATAAGTCAAGGAGCCCTCTATAATATTACAGATGATGAGATGAATAAGCCACACATGGCCACCACCCTCAGAGCCAGAACTTCCCAGAGGGAACAGATTGCAGAAACTTGATATAAAAGTGTGCTAAGCACAGTGCAGGAGGTCTGGGAGCCAGTGCTGTGTGTGGGGCTGTGTCTTTGAAGGAAGGCTGTGGAGAGGAGGACTTGTGAGTTGAGTGTCGAAGGATGGGCAGAATTCACCTGGGGTATGTGTGTGTGCACACATGCGTGCCTGGTAGGGAGGTATGTGCAGAAGCTGGGAGGGGTATGTGTGAGACACACTGGAGGAAGCACAGGGGATTGTGTGGTGGGAAGCACAAGCTGTGTCTGGAGGGCCTGGGAGAGGAGGAAGGCTGTGGAACAACAGCAAGGTGTGGTTTCTTGTTTTTGTTCTGTTGTTGGCCCTTTGGGGACTCACAAATCAGAAAGGGGAGAAGATGGAATAGGTGAATGATTTCCTAGGTTACTTACAGGGTTGTTCACTTCCAGGTTTCTTTTTTTTTTTTTTCAGCATATTGTTAACTAAATGGTAAAGTAGTATTACTTAATGGTCAGAAATATACCAACAAGTGTAAAAATTCTCCAAAAGACTTCAAGAGACATTTCTGAATTCTCTATGTTAAGGTTAGTGAATTATTGAAAATATGTACTGACTTTGATATGTTTTTACTCTCTTAAAAAATTAGGTGTCATTCAGAAGGATGCAGCTAAAAAGTTTGATTTTCCTATACAAGGGAATGAAGCCTCCAAAATAATGAAAAAGGTATATTATTGTAAAGGAGAGTGAGCAATAGTTTGAACTTTAAAGTTCAAAGTGTGTGAAGATATTCAAGTCAGTGAAAACAGTTTCATTTTTAAAATAATTTAATTTTCTGAAATGAGAAAATAGAAGTAATTGGGCAGAAGTAAGCTTGGATATATTTATTAACCATGAAGAGTAGTCCTTAGAGTATTTGAAGGTATAAAATGCCTTTTGATCAAAGTGTAAGCCTGGGAGATCTTTTGAAGCATAGTCTGTGTTTCATGGAATATAACAAATTGATAGATAATTTGGTATAAAAATAAAATCATGGATTTCATATAAAAGGAAAATTATCTATATCAGTGTCACATAGCTGTTTTCAAAGACAAGGAGTACATGTTAGGCCTCTAGTGGAAAGCTGACAGGGATGAATCTTTACTGCTGCTCTGTTCTCCACCTAGTTGTCCAAATGTCATGGTGCCTTTAGTGTTCTAACTAAGTCAAGATCAGGTGCCTTTGATTGCCATTTTAGTTTAATTTAAAGAAATTATTAGCTGATCATGATAAAATTGTATTGTTTCTGATCTTTGAATTTGTTTGATATATAATCCATATGTATATATAAAATAGTATGCAGGGTAACTAACCCTTGCACCGTATGTACTTTGAGAGAGCATCTAATCTTCCTACTGCACTAAGAAATATTTATTCCAAGAACAATTTCCTTTGGGGTAAGGAGAAAAGAGCAACAGCCAATATTTGCTTTGACTGTTGTATGTCAGACATGGAAATAAGTGCTTTACATATATATTTTTCATCAATCATAATAATTGAGGATGTAAAGATATTTCTGATGAGGTTTCAACACTTACCAATTCCAGATTATGAGTCTAGATCTCATAGTACTCATTCTTATTCTAGTATATTCATGATGTCTAGTAATTTTGTTTTGCTATGTCCTTGAAAAAATATGTAATTCTTAACTAGAATTAAATACATTAAAAATCACATCACTGCCCAATGGTTTAGACATAGAAATAGAAATTTACTATTTTTTTAAATTGAATGTTTTTGGAACCATTTAGGTTCCAACTTGATGGTCATTGCCTTTGAAAGGAAACTTCATACAGAACAGTTTAAATACTACAGGGGGTGGAATTCTAGGAAATTGGAAAAGGAGAACAGATAATTCAGTGATCACAGGAAACAATCATATTTAAATTTAGGTGCTAATGTTGCTTATAATGTTTATTGACATGTAATAGTGGGATCATTACCACTTGCATTCCTACATTCTGTTCAGCGTTCCTTAATTGTGCTTATTTTTTAAGGTTTCAGTATGGAACAGTGTATACAAAGTCATTTCTAGAATGCTTGAAGAAAATGAAAAATATAGACTCAGGCTGAAATGCCAGAAGTTATCTAGTGAAAGTAAGTTAACACAATTTTTATTGTATTCAAGAAAACTGACTTCTATAAATGGTTTAGTTCACCTTGGAGCATGTTATACTAGTAGTTTTCCTAGTTGTCACATTTAATGTATAGAATATAGAAGTGAGCTTACTGTGTTATCAGCATTCATCATAATTGAAAGCACATGATGTCTTCCAGGAGTGAGTGTAGAGCAGACTGCAGGCATAGGTATAGGAGTGGGTGGGTTGCAGAAAGTGTGTGTTGGCTGGAATTTATGGAGCAAAGGGAACACACTTGTCTGTTAAATGTGAATTTCAGTACCAATCACAAAACTCATCCTTATTGATGAAGAAAAACATTTTAACTCTTGTATAAAATTATGCATTCTATTTATGTAGCTTCTTGTGGTCATTTCCTTTCCATGGATGTTGCAGTACAATTTAAGGCACTTAAAACCTGCCTTGGAGTTATGGCCTTGATGTCAGTATTTCATTCCTGGAAAACAGCTCATGAATTAAACCATGTTCTAAAGCCACATCAATAATGAGTTGATATTGTGGTCAGGGAAAAAGGTGATGTAATCTACTATGTTTATTATCATAATTGGAAGTTCTGGATTTTTAAAATGTCAAGTTGAAGAAAATTAATATAATCAATGTCATATGAATTGGTAAATCAAAATAGTTAATTTATTTGCTGCACATGCATGCTATCATGATGAATGCTGCTATGGGTGCTCAGAATACATAGTCACTTGGTGACAATTTCTGTTTGACAATCATTAAACTTGTATTTAATTTTGTGAAGAATATTTTAATAAGATAATAAAACAATACCATTTTGTAAGCAATATAAACACTGGAAACTTATTAATGTTCATATAATATTGCATAAATTGTTTGCAATGGTGGCATATAAGCCAATGTTCAGCTTCATGATATTTCTATTTCACGTATCTAGTTAAGGACTAGAGGGAGAGGGATTAGGAGCAAGGAAAGTGGTCAGAGATTGTTTAAAAGAAAATGATGTTTGAATAGGCAGAAGAGTGTGCAGGAACACTGGGCATTGTTCAGAATGATAATCCAGGTGTATGACCTTGAACTTGGCAGGTTCTTTTGTGCCTCAGCAAAAGGCCTTCTACTAAACATAAAGTAAGGTTGTAAAGATTATTTAACAACTTAATTTGTTTTGTTTTTCCGAAATAGTTTCTAATAAACAAAAAGGTATCCTTGTAATTTATTAGTTCACATTACAGTCTTAAACTAGATTACAAGATTTTTATAAAACCAATAATGTTTCAAAAATGTTATAACTTTATTCCTTAGTATGTATTTCTTAATGAGAAAATCAATGCTAAAGACAAACTTGAATTTTTGTGTTTTATATTGTTTCTAGACTCAGATTACACAAGATGAATCTTATGCTCATCTTTTGGTAAGAATCCATTTAGATAATAACTGTATAGATTTTTCCTTGCCTTTTAATATATATCCACTGCTAGTTCCAGCTTACTTATTTCCTTAATCCAGTATTTGTCACTCCTTAAGTATTTGTTGACATTTAAAACTTCATTTAGGTTCTTCTCATTAAACTATTGAAACCACTCCCCCAATGGTCCATTTTTTTCTTCTGCTTCCTTTTACTCATATTTCCAGTTATTTCTCTTTTTCTTTGAAAGTGCTGTCACATTTAATGCTATCTTTCTATTATAGCTCCTTCAACATTTTCTTTTCTCTTGTGTCCTGAAGACTGTCATGGTTCTCATTCTGCCTCTTTGACTGTATTTTCTGTGTATTTTTAATGTGCCCCTTTTGCTTTTCCAGGAATAACTGACAGGCGGGTGCTCTCCTTACATTCACTTTCAGATAACATACTGATATTTATTTATAGCTCTCCAATTACTTCTTTTAGGAATATGACTTAAATCTCTATTCTATCTCTGACCTCGATTTTCTTTAAGCTATTCCATAGTTACTTTTGATATCCCAGGTTTTAAACTGACCATCTTGTTCTTTTTTATTTTTAACAATCATGTCCCTGGTTTCTTAATAATTTAGACTCATTAAGCTCCTAAGGAGAGATTACATATAGTTTTATGGGAATTGAAAAATAATAGAGGAGGTAAGACAGGCCTTTGAAAATAAAAATTAGATTTTTATAAGTGGGACTGTGAAGAGGAGCATATACCTTAGATAGGAACATAACAAATTGATGGAGTCCAACAGAATGTTGAGTGTATTAGGCAGCTTTTTGTTGCTGTGAAAAACACCCGAGAAAAACAACTTGAGAAAAGTTTTCTTTTGGCCCATGGTTTCAGAGGTTTCTCTCTGTGGCTGACTGGCTTCTTTGCTTTGGTGAGACAGAATCCAATGGCAGAAAGGCATGGTGTGAGAACGCTGCTCATCTCAGGGCAGCTGGGCACAGAGAGGGAGGGAGGAAAGGGCTGGGGAAGGCACACCCCCAGTAACCTACTTCCTCCACTAGGTTGCCCTTAAAGTTTCTACCTCCCAATGGTGCCACCAGCCTCTAAGCCAGTGCTACAGCCCTGGCGAGCCAGTTGCTTCTTAAGAGTCCCACTTCTGAACACTGCTGCATTGGGCACCAAGCCTTCAACATGTAAGCCTTTGGGCGTCATTCCAGGTCCAAACCACAGCATTTAGGGAATGTACAGTTTTATTAAAGATTACTTAAGATAGTATGATTAAAGAAAGATGTAAAAAAACCCTAAGATTGTATTTCAAAGAGTCTCACTTAGCTGCTAGGCAAGGATCTGTAATGAAGAAGCATGGACCACTTATTTTAAATGATTTCAAATGTTCAGGAAAGTTGCAAGAAGAAAGAACTCTATTATTTATCCAGATCCACCAATTTTAGCATCTTTCCACATTCGCTTTCCTATCCTTTCTCTGTGTATGAAACTATTACCCCTAATACTTTAATATGTATGCCCTAAAAAAGTGTATCTTTTGTATAACCACACTATAATTATGGAATTCAGGAAATATGACATTAATATAAAACCATTATATAATTTATATTCTGATCTTTTTCCATTGCCTCAATTGAGTCTAATGGTAGTTTTTTCTATGTACCAAGTCCAGTCCAGGATCATGTATTGTATTTAGTTGTCAAATATCTTCTTAAATCTGTAACAGTTCTTTAACTTTTCTTTTTACTTCATGATTGTGGGAGGCCAATCTAGCATGTGACCATGTTTGACTCCCCTGCTGAATGGTATGGCATCAGGCCATCACGCTGCTGGATAGCCCCAGTCTTCTAGGGTGCTATCAACTGTGTCTTAGTGCAAGGGGCATGTCTCTCCACATCCCCAGGGATCCAATCACCTCACTTGTCCTTGTAACCCTGCCCCCCTTGACCCTCATTGGACCGGGATTTCCTAAAAATTTAGATTCCCCTAATAAAAGCTTGCTCCAAAATGTGTTTGCTCTCTCGCCAGCCTCTCATGTAGTTCCTTGCTCTCCCATTTGGAGAGCTTGAGGCCAAGGGCAGAGGAGCCGTCCTGGAGCTTGCTTTAAAGGTAAATTGTGTGTCGTGTTTTATTTCTAATGCCTTGATAATTTCCCCCAAGTGACCTTATGTTAGCCATCTGTGCTGGACATGATATTGACATTTTTTTTTTTTTAAAGAGTAGACTAGTTAAGTTTCAGATTATTCCTCTGGACTTGCTGGTACTTTGTTATTATTTGATTTATGTTATGCATTTTGACTGGAACTTTATATTAGTAAAGTTACTTCTCAAAGTATCATATCTGGAGTCATGTGATCTTCATTGATCCTTTATTGACTTGGATCTCTAGGTTAAGTTGCCCATTTATGGTTACAATTTTTCTTTTTGTAATTAATGAATATTCCATAGAAAGATAATAAGAGAAGAATGCAAATATCTTATTCTTCATCAATATGTAGAACATTTTAAAACAGTGAAGCTGTCAGATCTGCATTTTAGAAAGAATCTGTCATGTGAAAAGGTTTTCAATGGAGACCAATCAGGAGGTGAAAAAGAAAACTTGTGACTGTCATGGCAATCCAAGTAAAAAGTGAAATGTTCTTGAAGGAAGGTGGAAGGGCAGGTAGAGCAGAGACATGATTAGATGTCAGGATCAGAAAGAAGGCACTGAGCTTTGAGAACAGGGAAATAAGAAAGAAGGAAGTGGGGAGAAAGAACTCTTTAGTCAATGTATTGGCTTTTATTTTTGAATGTTGAATGTTAGATGAAGTGAGGGGACCCAGGTAAAAATTGCATGCAAGCAATTGAAAGTGTTGAATTGGAGCCAGTGTGATCGATCTGTGCTACATAAAGGTCATTTGTAGCTCTCACAATAGGGGCAAAGGAAAGCCTGGTTGTGAGATGGAGAGAGGAGACTGCACACCAGGTGGGTTGAGGAGGAAGGGGAGTTTTTAGTTTCAAAGTTAGGGATTCTAGGGGCTTACTTGGCAGTAAAGAGAGAGCTGACTGAGGGTCAGTGAGAGAAGCACAATGGAGTCTGCAGGAGGTCAAGGGACTGTGCTCATTGAGAGTGAGGGGCATGGACAGTAGGAGGAAGGGAACATGTCAGCTAGGAACTCTAAGCTTTCCAGCACCCAGAAGCAAAGCACAAGTGATGGCAGGTCTGGGAAGTGGGCTTGCGGTGAGTGCCTGCAGTGGCCTATGACACATGTTTCTGGGACATAGTTCCTGTCCATGGAGCTGATGAAGTCACCAAGGGTATTAGCAGGAGTTGAGTGGAGAAGGAAAGTACGGGCTGTACCTGGAGTCCACCAGAGGCCATGGCTGACCAGAGCAAGCATGTCATTAACACAGTAAGTACAGGAGTGTCCTGCTGGTCTCTACAGTCTAGAATGTCAGAAATGTCAATGAATACTGACTGACATGATGTTTTATTTTATTAATAAAATTAAATTTTGTTACCTTTCATTTAGGATTAACCTATCTTTGGATTTATTTACCAGTGAAGATAATGAAGAGTTTAAAGATGGAATGTTAAATGGAATCACAATTATTTGTTAACTTTGGTGTGATTTTGGAATTAGCAATTTAATAGTTCAATGGAAAAACTAGCCTCTTTATAAATTAATAGTAGTTTTTTGCAAGCTGATACAATTTTTAAACATTGTTATCATATGCATGCAAGTATTATTTTCAGAATTAATACTTTTAAATTAATCTTAAACATAAAATTTAATTAGCATATCAACACAATTATGTTTATAATTGGTAACTTTTACCTTTCATTAGTAAGTCTGCAACTGCTACTTATACATCTCTTCTTTTAAGTGTAACTTTTAAATTAAACTTGTATTAATTTAAATTATTTTTGGCTTCCTCCCTTTGTTTAAAATTGTGAAGAGCAATAATTATTTTGGGTGTTAAATCTAAACTGATTATTACTTAAGCCGTGCTTTCATCCTAAGGATAATTAGCCTGTGTATATGTTTATGATATGCATATATTACAATTGACTCTATAATGATATGGAGTATTTTAGGAACATTTCTGAGCAAAGATCAGAGGAGATGCCCTTCTCCATGGCCAGACTCCTAATTAAAAGATACATTATTTTTAAATCATTGAGGGAGAACTTTAGAACTCTGAAACAATTATTTAGAAGTGTTTCCCAGTTTAGTTCCTTTATTTTCCACCTAATATTAAGTAGTAAGTAATGTTACATTAAGCAGTGTTCTTGGTTTTTTTGCTGGCTTGGGAATTTGGGAGGGAAAGACAGAAGAGGGTTTTCAAACCTTTTGTACACCACTTGCTTCTTTCCCTTGAGGTGGTAGGTCTTTTCCTTTAATAATCCAGATGGGAACACGGATTACATTAATTCCTCATGGAAGCATTGAGAGGTTGAGCTTCCTCAATTTTCTTATACTGGTGATGCAAAATGGGAACATACAAAATTATCATTAAACAATAAAAGATGTAAGCACTGTAAAATAATTCACAGTGTTGTTTCTTCCTCTACTTATAACTTACTTGCTTCATAAAAGTCCAGTGGCCTAGGATTTGAAGCAGCATGTCTTCTGGTGATTGTTTACCAATCCACTTGTTTTTAGTTGAAGGACATATTGCCTGGGCACATGGCCTAGGTCCTGCCTGTCACATGAGGTCCACAGTTCCCCTGCACACAGAAACATCTAACTTCTTTAAAGTGTGCTGAATAAATTATTAATATGCTAAATCCTTGAGTGAAGTTTCAAATTTTAGCATGTACAAGTTAAATGCATTGCAAAATGAGACATGTTTCGATTGTAATTTATGCTGCATAAAGTTTTGTGGTGAAGTTTTAGGTTGCTTCAGTGTAGTTTTTATTTATGTGACTTGTGCAACTTGACATAGTAATATAGTCTGTTTTATCAGGTGTGCTAGTATTCATTAGATTTACAGTATGAATCT